ACCTCTTCTCTTCAGTTGAACGTCACGTCAACGCTGAACCAAGTCCAATGTAATTAGGCCACTCGGGTCTTGTACGCTTCATAGGTGCGCTCGATTCCTTTGTCGTTCGTCATACAACAGCCTCACTAACATCGGCTTGACACTACTAAGCTTCAAAAGAGGCCATCGACACCCAGCCTTGTGGTTGCACTTTGAGCAAGACTTCTTGTGACTCGCGCTTTACACATGTTACCGAAATTCGAACTGATAGTTACCCATTCAATGAGAAAAATTAATAAGACTACCAAGGGCGTTCTCCAACGTGCCACCTATCGAAATATGTGCAACTTGGACCGCTGCTGGTTTTGACCATACCGGTCAGTTCGTTGTAGGGCTTTAATTGATCAGAATTATGTGGCTACAGTGACCTTAGACTGGCACACAATTATTCGAAATACCGTACTCTGGATTACTTAATCTTTTTCGAAAACGTCGTAGCACGGCTCAATGGTACGAGCGATAAATCCTTTGATTAATCATATTTAGTCCAAGAGGTAGGGTCACACACGCTCATGATTCACTTCCTTTTCGTCGTAAAAGAATAGTCAACTAATGAGTCCAAAACAGAACGAGGTGCACATATAAGCGCCTTCCCACACGCACCACCACATACAGAAGCAGCATCCTACCGCCTTCTAGTGAATCGGTCTGGTGGAGTATACTGATTTAGTTTATTTTTCAAACCATTATTATCGTCTTCCTCGCAATGCACTGTCGTTTTTNNNGTTCCCCCCCCCCCAAAAAAAAAAAATTCCACTGTATTCTCATGAAAATCTCTCAAAATGCACTCTTCTGGTGCATAAAGCTTATTTTGACTTAACTCAAACCCAAGTGTACAATTCATTTATAAGACGATGCGTAGGTGTCAAATTATCCTTTTCAGATCGCATGGAAAAATTACAACTGGAAGGAAAACGTCAAAATCCGCAAAGGGGAAATAAATGAATGCGCTTTACAATATACTTGTTTCTCAGAGCAGACCATTTGCAGGAACAAAGACAGAACAAATGTGTAGCGCATCCTGTACAATTCATGGACAGAGCGAAGAAATGAAGTCTGAGAGAAGATCGGAATGGGCTTGGCAGGTATGTACAGGGGGAAGGGAGCAAACCCACACCATTAGTACTGAGCCTTGGTCATCAGTTCAGCAAATGATACTGGGTGCCAACCTCCGTCAACTGGATTGTGCACAAAGCTGACGTTTCGATCAAAAAACACATGCAGACCCTCGAGACGGTAGACTTGTTGACCTTCGAACATGCGGTTGGGAATTGGATGAAAGACAAAACCACGTTGTGCGGCAACTTGCTCTACTTGTTTTCGCAAAGTGACAGGGGGTGGAGCTACCAGTGGGGCTCCAGCAAAATTGGATACCGGAACTGGTCTTGCACCAGGAAGCGGATATCGGCTTGGGTTGGATGGACCAGCGGCAACGACAGGAGCAGCTGGTTTTGATTCCTAGTGTAAAACGAGTGAGTAGATGGGGGCACGAAATCAGAATATCATGTATTAAGAGAGCTATTTTACGCCCGTTACATTTAGCTGTTATGAATATTGCAAATCCCTTAGAAATAGTTAGGAGATAGTCGTATACGGCAAAACAAAACACATGCTCCTGGTTATCCCAAACGTCGGACGTCATGTTGGCAATGGGGCAATCGCAAGTTTTATATTATCTGATTCATGACCGTTTATCATGTGCAATAAAGTGAGTGATGGATACGAAGCCATATTAAAGCATAAAGATTGACAGTTCAGCAATTAACAACACTCCAAAATACCGATCACGTAACTAAACGCCAATCGAGAGCGCATTAATTTACTTTTTCGATTTATGGTCAGATGCGGATAGCGTCAGGTGATTAGAAGCACAAGCACCAGAGAATCCGTCCACAAAGCGATTGTGTACGTGTTGGCAACGCTAAACTCAATTGCAGCGTGACACTGACGATGGGTAAAGTACACTGCGGAATAGTAGTCAGGTGTCATTGATTCAATAAATCGTATGTAACAAATAATATACTACTATATTCAACTTTACCTTACCTTTAGGTCCCACAGGATCCAGTGTGCAATAATACTGAGAATGCTCACTATACGTACATACATCGAGTGTCACCCTGAAGTAGCCACACTATAAGTTGTTTATGAGCCCGGTTTACCTACTCTAACGCCAAATGAATAAAGTTCAGGCAGCTTTCAAAACCCCACGAGGTGCGCATCATTCTGCCGTTGTGAAACAGAAATTACTTCATAATGATGGAAAACACAATGAAAATCTAATTCAAGATAGACGACACAACGGTTGACGTCCGGATAAGCCTTGGTTATTTTATCAAAGTCACCTGGTTGACTACTGTGCGGTTTTCGAATTCCGATGTCGCAGACACTATAACTAATGAGTTATCAGTCGACGTGATCATTGAAAACCATCAATCAAGTCGAAAATTAAAAATCCAAACGATATCAGGTGACAAAACCGTTGTTTCCAAGTTTGTCTCACAGTCTTTGCGTTTGAGTCAGTATTCCACTTAGTCTGCTTTGAGTCCAACAGACAAGCAAAACAGAAATTATAACCATCACTCAGCTTGCAGCAAATGCTCATTTTACCGAATTCCTGAAGAAAAAACTTGGTATATTGTTTGTCTCTGAACTCTCAAACCTGTAGTTGGAAAACCGTATCTCTCGGTTTTCTGATAAACAAAACCAATAACGGGGAAGACAAGAATTAGTTTTCAACTGAACGATACTAACCTCTGGTGGCAATCCACGCATCGCTCGCTCCATCATAGCAAGTGCTTTTGTCAATGCACTTTTTACACTCGCATATTCCATACACTCCGGTGGTAGCTGACCTTTCCAACCGGCATACCAGCGCCCAACCTCTTGATAAACTTGCGCTGCTCCGGACTGATCTCCTCGTTGACGAGCTTCCACTGCCTGGACAAGCCAATTAGAGAGAACGGTAAGCCAACGGGACCAAAAGTGTTGTTCTAACAAGTTGACAACAACTGCTGGTCCCAGAAGATCCGCCCAACGCATAACCCAATTCCACGCATCCATGTTCTGAGAGGCAGGATTAAGCTACAAAATGAAAAAGATAAGAATAAGAAAATTTGACGATGAAAACCTGAGGTTTTATAGTCGAATTGCGAAATAAACCTGTTATTCCTTAATAGCTGATTTGCAGAAAAACCAAGTTGATAGATTGCACTTGGTTTGCGCGTACCGCAGTGGCATTTTGATTCTAAATAGGAAAGGACTCTTACAACAGCGCACTTACTGGAGATGTTTCTATGAAATGCAAATTAATATATGTGGTGGTGGCCAAGTGGTTAGGTCACCAACGGGAATCATGGTTCATGAATCCCCGATACCTATTTGCTTCAACAATGAGTCTTGAAATAATTGGCTCAAGGGCAACGACAATCCACGAAGAGATATCAGGAAACACTGCAACCGGTGTTCCAATATCGGGATAATATTATTTATTGGAGTTAACATTAGAATTACTAGACGACGCTTACTTTATATCAATCGACTTTGAAACACAAAGATTATCCCGCTTGACTTTGAATAAAACAGAAAGCGTTTCCAAAAACCTGCGAGCAGTCTCACTTTCCCACGGACCCGGTATTGTCTCCATAAATGATACTAGGGTGTGCGTTTCTTAACTTGTCTATTGCCATGGTGTTTTCACTAAAGGGAAAGAATGAAGAATGTTCGGAAAGATGGCAGAAATCAAAAATCTAGGCCTCTCAAGTTTATCCGTAGGAACAGGCGACAGATTGCGCACCGGACAACCTGAGTGCGTAAATCACGGACTAAGCACCCTCATGGATTGAAGTTTGGCTAATGGAAGATTTCGATTTAGGATTCCCACGGAAACCATCAGCATCAAGTTGAACAACTCAACAGTGTTGTGCAAAAACAAATTAGTGATTAATTCTACCATTATCAGTATGTTAGTTATCTGTTTGTGGGTTCGCCGTCTGGACACAGATAGATATGAAATAGTTCCTCCTCTCAATTGGACGCGATTCACATTTATTAACCCCTATGGTCCACCCTCGATCATTCTTATCGCCCAGGATGAGGTATGTATGGTAAAAACATTCTAACTGAAGTTTGTGGCAGTTCCGTTGAATATCAGTGCAAAGAGATCACAAACTTACTGCCACAAATGTAAACATACTACACATAAGTAGCTAGCACAGCGATCCAAAAAGTGTTCACCTGAAGTGACGACTTGAAATAAAAATTTTCCAATCTGCTTGCTATTGTCGGAGAATGATGGTTTTTAGTTAGACAACTACCACTTCCTAACATCAGTGGTAGCTATGTATTTTATCGAGACAATGTAATTTGTACCCGACGGGTGATCATGTCAAACAGACCAATGAAAACATTTTGATAACACAGTAACGTAATATTTGTATAGAATAATAGATTAAAATCGCTGTCACTCCATTCTGGTGGAGAGAACACCTGGTAACCGTTCAGATCCGTTAGGTTTTGCATGGTAGCAGACCTTGGGTCAAGAGCGCACTTTGTTTGTTTATCGT